GATAGGGGCAACTAGGACATTCCTTCTCCCAGGGTCTGTCAGTCTGCAGAGTTAGCGTGTATCATGTGCAATCCTTTGCAAGCCCATCCATCAACATGTAATGGTACAAACTGTGAGATTCACACTGTTCTCCTTTTCAATCTCCATGAGAAATAGAAGCACAAATGAAATATTGAAGAAAAGCCACACATTTCTCAGCGCCCCAGTGAAATAAAGCTTGTGTTTGAAAGATAGTGATGGCCAACTGAAAGCCTGGCTATGCCTTTGGACATGAGCGGCATGTGAAGAAAATGAGGCAAGGGGGAAAAAAATAACAACAACCAACAAATAAAAAATAAACAAAACTAAAAGCACACTCTAAGGAAAAACCTAGAAAGAGTTTATTTTTGGTCCTTTTAAAGAAAGTGCTCTCCATGCTCTCTGTCTTCATGAGGGGACTTTGGGAGTATTTCAATTAAAGTAAAAAGAGAAGAACAAAAGAAGAGATATCTTAATCAATGTTCCCTCCCCTGGGCTCAGATAAATCATCTTGCTTTTACCTAGACTGCTCACGGCCTCTGATAAAGAAAGGACATTTCAGCAGCAAGCTGTTTTTTTTATAAAAGCTAATATGATACCTACAAGGCAAACAAAAAACAAATGCGATGTGAAGTTTCCCATTTTGCCAGGGATGGGTTTTGTTGGGATTTGAGTTTTTAGCAGCTAGTCATCTTGCTGTAAAGGAGCAACACTGCGGGTAAGGATACACAGCGAGACAGCAATCATATGAAATCCACCACCAGTTCAGATTGTCTTCTAGACAATTTTTTCAGGAATTGAGAAATCTCCACCAAAGGCCATGAGAGTGCTCTGTCCAAGTTCAACGCACCTCATTGACTATTTTCTTAAGTCTCCTAAGAGCCAAGAGTTGTGTTTCATCTAGGCAAGTGCATCTTGGGGATCTGAGAGGTAAGCCGTCTCCACGCAGGCGGGAGACGGAATACTTAGGACTATTTTTGGTGCAGCCTTATCGGAGGAGAGCCTTTGAGGAAATACCGCACTGCTGTGCTTACGTTTTATTTAAATTTTAATCTAAATTCTTTTGAACGCCTTTCCATTTGCAGTTTTCAGAGGGTCTGGAAAAAAAGCAAACGTAATACTCTGTGACACACTGTAACACGGTTTTAGAACTTGTTGTGAACAGAGGATGAAGCCAGAAAACTAATTCTCGTCTTCAACAACTTGTTCTTCCTCTCCCCCAGAGCACTGTCGGAAACCGAACTAACACACATGCACGCCAACGTGGCTCCTTCCATGCAGCGAATGGTAAAGACAGGGCGGTACCTGATCCTGAAGACTGTCGCCTCCTGGTCTGGCTGATTCCTCACAGACAGCGAGACTGCGAGTCAGTTTACCTTTCCCTGCTCCTGACTGGGAGGGCAAAAGACAAGGGGAGAGAAAGGGAAATAAAGAAAACAAACAGAAAACGTTCTCAGTCTAACAGCACACCTTCAAGTTCACAGTGAATGCTCAAAGCAGATTTGAAAAACAAGTGCCCAGTCGGCTGCCCAGGACTGGCCACTGGACCCACCAGGCATCAGACCTCTGGTGCTGATGGGGGTGGAGCGGAGAGGAGCAATTCTGCATGCATCGGGGCGCACTGTCAGCACACAGTGCCCATCGCACCCAGAACCCGTGAAAATGTGAGGGAATAAACACCAACCCCTCCCCCCTCAAGGACTATCTCCTAAAACTAAGTCTGAATGGAATTTGACTGTAAAGAGGCTTGGAAGGAGGAAGAGTTTGTCATAACACCACGTTTACTTCAAGTTCAGAATTCATTTGGGGATTTGTTTTATGTACTCTTAAGTTTTATTTAAATAGAATTGTGTCACAGCCTATTTCTTTCGTCAAGCACTACCAATCTCCAGGTATGAAAAAAAGTGGGATTAAATGTTTACTCTGGCAGCCATGCCATCCCACATATTCTAATTTAAAAAGCACACAGAGCCAGGACGAAACACACACTTGAATATAACCCCGATAGAAGTAGAAAGCACAAAACATCCGGGGTGCACCATGGTCCTTGTGCACAACCATCTGAATTGCTGGCAAGCCCTTGTTAACTGTGATGTGAAATACCCCATGCCACTAGATCTACAGAGAACCTTCCCGAAAACCTTACCTTGGATTTTCTTCTCTCTTGGTTCTGAGCTGCCAGTCGCCTCTGTGTGTTATAAAAGAAAACAAAATAATACAAACAATCGGTATGCCAACAACCACCAAAGAGAAACAGAAAGGGGCGGGGGGCGGGGAAGAGATGTAAGAGGTGTCTTCTACAGTTAAAAAAATAAACAATGCTGGCTAGGAGACATTATAACCTCCTCCTTCCTCAGCTTTCCAAAACTTGACCATTGAAACTTGAGCTCTCTCTCTGTACAGCAGCTTTGGGTAGGGGAGAAATTCCACCTTGAAAACATAGATCATTATGTGTTCATGTGCAATGTTTACAGGCTATTGGTAGGCATAATTTGTCTGATCTCTACCCAATCTTGTTGTCTCATACTGTGGCATTACTTTTTCAATCCCTATCAATCACACTCAATCTTTGCTGCCCCCTTTCTCCTCTCTCTCTTTGCCATGAATTGCTAGCTAATGAGCTCCAAACTGAACCAAGCCCATGAAGGCTGCAGAAGCTCATGTAGTTTGACTTTTCCTCGTCTACCATGAGTGAGTCTTCTGGTTTTCCCACGGAATAGCAAATCTCTGTTTAAAAATGTGTGGTGCAAAGCAGTACTGGAATGCTGTGTGCCTATTCTGACATTAAATACTTTCTTTGGAAATTTTTCATTTCCTAAAACCATCTTCGGGACCAGAGCACTCAGGGAATAAGAAACAACAGTACATCGATAGTTGAACAATAATTGGGGAAAAGAGATTCACTGCAAGGTTTTCCTATTCATTGATCTATTCATTCATTCAAAGAAAGAGGAGGAAGAGACAAAGCAGAACGGTTACGATGTATTCTCGGAAGGAAGCAAAGTGCACCCAAGGTGTGAGAGTCAGGACAAGGTCAGGTTCGGCTCACCTGCAGTTCCTGCTTTTCCTCTTCATCCAGACTGTCTGATTTAACTACGCCGTTCTCCGGAGTGGCCGGCTCCGGTTCAGTCCCACCTTCCCCTTCCTCCATGATAGTCGGAGGCAGGTCACTTTGCTCAGACATGCTCCCAGACACAAATTAAAATAACAAGATGAGATGCCCTGAAAGGTCAAGATGCCAAAAAATACAATTGGTGGCAAGTTTACAATGTCGACTAATATCCTTGAGCTACTAATCCTGTCCCCGCTAAGGTTTCAAATCCAAGTGAGCCATGCATTCTTGCCAGTTTTATTGGAAGGGAGACAACAATAAGACAAAGTGCTCAAGGCACATGCAAGAGGCTGACATGGCCACCCATCCACATCACACACACACACACACACACACACACACACACACACACACAGAAATACACCTTGCCACAAAGTGGGTCAACAAATCTTACTAGGAGGAGACTTTCAACCCTAACCTATTCACCAATCCCCCCTCCCCCACCCCACATGCCACTACAAAGAAGAGAGACGTTTCCTCCCACTGCTGAGCCAATGATCCTTGACTTCTGAATCAAGAAGTGGTACCAGTGCCTGCCCTGCAGCTGCTCTCGGATCACTCAACAGCGATTCCCAAGGTTCAACCACAGACACACTTTAAGAATGCAGCACACTCTACAAGGGGCAAAAATCAATTGGGGAGGTAATAATTCCATATAAATATGGGCTCCAAATTTGGCAATAAACCTCTCAGGGTCAACGTTTTCAGGGTTCACACTGACAGCTGCATTATTAAAAGCAGGAGCCATGTCCCCCGCTCCTGTCTGAAGCTGGCGCCTCCCAGTCCTGCAGAAGGGAGTCTTTGGCAGGCAGCTCAAATGAAGCCATCACAGTGACTGCCGTACTCTGGGGCTCACCACAGACCACTACACAGACTCCTGGAAATGGCTCTTCCAAATTAAAGCCTGTTATTATTCTGTATCTTTCCCTATCTTCTTCGAAAGCCTGACACCTCTCCCTCTGATGTGCTATCAATGATGTGTTCATGAATAATTTAGCATTTACTTTTTTAAGATGTTTGGGGAGCAGGCGGGGTGGGGGGGTGGGGACAGAAAGAGAACAGAAGAAAGAGAGAAATAAAGAAAAGCAACTGTAGGTTCTGAAGTCAATTCTTTCACAAAAAATCCCAAGCCACGGCTGTCCTGTTCTCAGAGACTACAATGGTAATTATTATTAGACAAATCAGTGTTTTGATACCTTCTTTGGGGGTGTCTAATTACCATGTACAAATTCAGTTACTTTATTTCCAACTGGAAAGAGGAGGCATGAGAAAAATACAGAACCCAGCAATTTTGTGTTGTTGCGATTTTGCTAAAATCTACCGTGACGGAACAGATGGTATCTGATGATACCTTTCAAAAAAAAAAAATCCACGCTCATTTGGAAAAGGATTATGGGAATTTAAAAGGAAAAGTTTTTCTAATGGGCATGATTGTAGTATATGAATGCCCTCGTTAGAGACGCTTTTAGGTTTGGGGAGGTTTTAGGATATTTCATCCAGTAGATCCTAATAATTTCCTCTTTATTTCAGCGGTACTTGGTGTGTGTGTGTAGAAACAAAATAAAAAGCCACATTTCCCAATGGTAAACAGCTTGCTTCTCAGCTCACTGGGTGGGAGTGGGGGGATCAGACAGGACTTCTGTTACCCTCTTCTAATTTTTTTTAAAAATTAGAGCATTTCAATAAAAAGCAGATCACAACCAGATTTACGATGTACTGAGCAAACTGGCCTTTCATTTCCCAAACTCTGTACCGATTGGGCGTCTAATACAGACCCTGTCTGAGCTACATTCTACATTGACTCTTTCAGGCCACCGAACCCACTCGTCTCCATATACAAGAACCACGGAGGAGGTAGGAGGTAGGTAGGTGACAGCCAGACAACAAGACCTTTACCTTCTGTGCCGAATTCCCGCGGTGGGTCCCGATAGCTCAGGAACAACGGCTTCTGTCTCTCTACAGCAGGAAAGTCCACGCCAGTGATCAGAGGCAGCCGGAGTCCCATGTCCCCATTAACAGTGCCGAATGCCCATCTCCCCGCGATGCCCTCACACAGTTTGACACATCATCGTCAACCTGAAAAAAGATGAAAAGTAAATAACAATAATTGCAGTGATCGTGGTAGGGTGAAGAAGGAAATAAATAAGGCCGGATTTCTAACACTAATGACCAGCTTCCAGCAAATCACGTTCTCAGTGTGCGCCAGCTCCACCTGTCGCAAGCTGCCTGCTTCCTCTCTAATGAAGGCTACAGCGGCTGCTGAAGTCAGAGCGGCACCCACGCACGGAGCTAAAATTAACAATTGCATTATGCGCCGAAGATTACTCACTTCAATTTGAACCTTTTTTAGTGAAATCTCGCACTTTGTATTAAAAAAACACACAACAAGCTTGTGTGATTGCTTCAATGAGATTCAAGTTCACCTATGAGCAAAAGTCTTGCCTCCGTTGTTTTGTTTTGTTTTTTTATCCAAAGCTTTTGTCTTAACTATAGATGAATATGATATACTTGAAGGTGGTTTTTATGACTCCGTTTTTTCTTTTGAAAGTTGTCACGATGAAGCATAGTTAAGGACGTTGATTGGATAAGGCATTACCCACGAGAGTGAAAAGACAAAAAAGGGAGAGGAAAACTTTCTTGGCGGCCTGAAGGAGACAGCGCTTCCCTGTTCACTTACAGTTCGGGAAGAAGAATTCCTGTCTTCTTGCGGTTACGTGAACGAGGCCTATCCCATACCCCTCCCACCCCATCAGGATTGCCTGCGCCAGCTGGGCATTCTGTTTGACAGCAGAGAAACGCTGTCAGAGGGATTCGACAGATTTGCAAACTTTGAGCCTGTTGAAAACAATCCATGCTCTAATGTGCGCTTTCTTTTTCGCACAACTCCTCCAGAAGCAGTGGCGAAGGCAGCTTGAGGGCAAACATAGAGACGCGTTCCTAATAACGTTTGCCAAAACCAAGCGGGATCCTCCTCCTTTTGCTGCAACTCCATGCGGGTGCGCAAACTCAGAATCCAGCCATGGCTAACGCACCCAGCTATGACAAACCTAAATGCATCCCAGTTACATAGGTGAAGGTTGACATGCTTTGGGCTCCACTCTCTGACACCCTCTCCCCCAACCTCCAAATTTAAATGATCACAGCTGGTTCAAGGATTTTTACTGCAGCTATATTAACAACATATTGGGTTACAAAGCCATTTGCTGTACAAGAAGAAAATAACTGGTGAAAATAGGATCACATACATGGCCAATCATTTGGGGCTTTATTCATATTTTAAATATTTTAAAAGCCCTTTAAGTTATATTTCTGGGCTGGTACACATTACAAAGCTATGATGAGTAAGCAAACATGCCGTTAGGACAAACCTAGATTGCTCATTAACAGTCAATTAATTTTGACCAGATTCACTATGGATACTATGACTAACACATATGATATTAAATAGAAGCCATGAGACCTTGAAAAAAGGATCTATGTGAATTACCAGCCCATAGAATTAGGAAATACTGTTTGAGAATAGGCTCCAGTAATGTATAATATCTCTAAATGCTTTCTGGATTTTTGTCTCCTTTTATTTCCTCAGTGAGAGTGAAGTTCTCAACCACCTCCACACCCCTTGCTTCCCTTTTCTTCCTCTCTTATTTGCACAGTGGCATCTAAAACCCCAACAGGTGACAGGCAAGGTGGTTTTCATAGCCAAGCCCTAGATGAATTATTCTAGGCTCAGTAGGAGGATACAAGATATAATTCTTTCCATCAAGTAAGGGGAAAAATAAACTGGTATTCACACTGTACATAACCAACTCAAGCAAGCACAAGGAGCCTGGAGATGTGTGTTTGTGTGTGCATGTGTGCAATTATCAGGACATATTTTGAAATAGCACTGAGCTCTCTAAAGTCAGGGAGGTATTCTTGCATGCCTGAATCATAAAGTCATCATCCACCAAGATAAAAGAGAATATGGGCATATGGGAATGAGCAGAGAGAAGCATATGGATCACAAATATTTTTGTAACTGATTAAAATTGTTCTCTTTGCTAAGGAAGCAGTGCCAGCAAACCAACCCTACTCCAGCTTTCTGTTCACCACATCAGACTGACTCTTCTATCCCTCTTTCTTCTTAATCTGCTCCAATTTCCTCCATTTTCCCAAAGATCCCAAATCATTTATAACAAGTATAGATGCTGAAGCATTTCACTAATAAGTACGCTGGCCAAATGTCATGTGCCAAAGTGGAAACTCGAGGGAGAGAGTGGCGGCTATATATACAAACACATAAAACCAAAGTTCCTAAAGGAGCCGGAGGTGAAGCCCTGGTGCCATAATGGTTACGTGTTGGGATGCAAACTGAACGGTCAGCAGTTCAAAACCACCCGCTGCTTTTCTGGAGAAAGATGAGGCTTTAAACTCCTGTAAACAGTTACAGTCTAAAACTCACAGGGGAAGTTCTACTCTGTCCTATAAAGTGGGCATAAGACATAATCAACTCAAATGGCAGTCAGTTTGTTTTATAGGAGCCCTGATGCCATAGTGATGTGCTAACCACAGGGTTGGTGGTTCAAACTCATCAGCTGCTCCAAAGGAGAAAGATAAAGCTGCCTGTTCTCATAAAGATTTCAAATCTCAGAAATGCAAAGAGACAGTTCGACTCCGTCTTATTCGGTCACTACCATTCACATTCTACCTGATGGCAGTGAGCTTTAGGTGTAGTGGAAAGTATTCATAAAACAAGTTAAATGAAATTAATCAGAACTGCTATTTACAATGAGGAAAATAGTAACCACGCTACATTATATTTATTGATTTCCTTATCTTACATTGATTTCCTTATCTTACATTACAACAACCAAATCTACCGCTATTGAATTGATTGCAACTCACCACAATCTTAACGTGAAGTTTCTGAAACTACAAATCATTAGCTGAGCAGACAGCTTCATATTTCTCTCTCTCAAGAGGTTGGTTGGTTTGATACCATGCAGTTAGCAATACAAAGCCTAATGCACGGCAGTACCAGAACCCCTTGAGGGTTAGATAAAATGTACCCTTTTGTATTGTGAGTTTGAGTGAGAAGAAGACAGAGGGAATTCACACTATGAGGCACCACACAGCCTGTCTTCCCTCATCACCAACACCACCACGACGGGTGTGTCTCAATTGCATGTGTGTGCTACATATACAAATCCTGTGGTGTCATCTGGGGAAAGAAAGATCAAGATTTGATTGCAATTCTGGAGGCAACAGTGACTTTGTTCTCAGGGGATATCTAAAATGGGAAATTAAACTGAATTCTATTAGCAAGTCGGGAGGGTCATTTTTAGTCACTTTCCTCACAATACTGCTACTAAAAATTAACATAAGGGATGACTAATCTGGTCCCACATTTGGTATAGGTATGTTTTTTATATAGAGAACACAATCAAGAATACCAGAGGGTTCCAAACACTTGTGAAAGGAGTGGGATACAATGAAAATGTATTGTTCTCCAAACTGTTTGGAAGCCCCTCATGCAGAGTCAAGAGCAACTAAAGTCATAAAACAGAAGTGTATACATGGTTGAGAACAAATGCTCTCTTTGAACCTTCATTCGAACTATTTTAAAAATGCCAGGAAGGTTTATTGAAGTGGACAGCTGAAATGCTTCTCATGGACACTGTCCATTCTTGTTTGGGTGGTCACAGTTCTACAAATGTATTCCCTTGTCTATCACACATGGCGATACTAGTGAACTTCAGCATTGTGCAGCAAACTTTGTAAAAGTAAAAACCTATGTAAGACAGAAATCTATCAGAGAATAAAAACTCAGATGTTTCCCATAAATTCCATGTGATATATATCACACCAAACTCAAATGCACTGCCGTGGAGTCAATGCAAACTTAAAACTAACCTCTAAGATGGGACAGAACTAACCCTGTGTTGCTGAGACTAACTCTTTGCTGGAGTAAAAGCCCGTCTTTCTCCTGTGGAGTGCCAGGTAGTTTCACACTGATGGCCTTGAAATTAACAGCCCAGGAATAACACCACCACCAGGGCGCTTATATTCTCTCTCTCTCTCTTTCTTTCCCTTCTGTCCTCTTCTCTTCTCTCTTACACACACACACACACACACACACACACACACACACACACACACCTATATGACTGCAGGCTGTCAAGAGTGGAAAACTTTCAAGATCTGGGAAAAGAAGGCAGTCCCATAGAGTTCTGGCTCTAACAGGTTTTCCTGTATAAATCAAAGACATATCCCTACCCCGGTACGAAAACACTTACCCATTTTATTTTTAAAAAGGATTCAGAATGTGTAGGATGGAGTCTGAAAAAGTGGGATAACAAAAGGAGCAGGAATTTAACCTCTTCAGAAATAAGAGTAATGATAGCGCAAAGTCTGCACAAACAAAAATCTCTTTACACCTTTGAAACTTTCCCAAGGTGAAGAATAAACAACATTGATGTAAAAGTGTCACATACATTTAATTTCCTAAAGAAGGGTTTACTTCTCCGTATGTGTGTAATAAATAAGCTTTCAACCAGGATCTCTCCCCTTTCAATAAATTCTTTTGGTCAGCCCAACACTAAAGACATTCTGGAAGATTCTTGAAATCTCTACACAAATGCCCAGATGTCGTGATGCTATTTTGAAGAAAGAACTTAGGAGGACATTTGAAAAAGAAAATTTCATGCTATTATTCTAGGTAATAAAATATTTTGCATTACTGCTATTGTTTAAGTTTTACTCTAAGACATAGATTGCTTATAAACACATAGCAGCTGCTATGTCCCATTTCTCTTTTTCTTCATTAACTATTATAAGATTCTGGCACAAACCTATCCTAGGTCAACAGTTAGAATGATCAGAGCAATGAAAAAGGTGATACTAAAACTTTAACTGTAGGGATGGTAAGCATGAATGCTATTAATACTAATATTTGAAAATGAAGCACCTTGTGCCAAAGTTTCCATGTGTCATTATTCAACAAATCTTTCCTTAGTACCTAGAACACGTGTGGCTGTTCTTCCACAGTATAACAGGCTTTGAAGGACACTAAGAAATTTTCACGTCAAAAAGCAAAC